ACCGGAGCGCGTCCGACGGCGTGGGAACCATAAACGAGCGGTCCTTCCATGATTCGGTATACTTGGACTCCTGTGCTACCTTCTCCTTCCTGTGCTGATGCGCAAGAATATACGCAAGTGTCGCGCGCCCGACCTGTTCCTCACCAACGTGGAGCTCGAGCAGCCACTGCTGAATTTCCAGCGCCTGCAGCAGGCGGTCCCAGCTCCGCTCCTCCTGCGGCATGTCTGTGCAGGAGAGGTTGTCGATATTTTCGGAAAGCAGCATTCCACAGCTCCATGCTTGTCCAAGGACCACCTCCACCATGTGCGTGGTTAGCTTAACATTGCGGCTTTTCTGCAGGCGAACATAGCCAAGCATTGCGTTGAGCACGAGCTGCCGCGAGCTTCGAACGGCGGCCGTATGACAATGCTCCGCGTGCAAGTCGTCCGCGGTGCGCTGGGCGACGCCCGGTGCCGAGCGCAGCGGGATCTCCTTATGCGCGTTGCAGTTCTGGCAGTACTCAAAAACGCGCCGGCCACTTTGGAAAATGCTCTTGTATCGCATGCGAGGTCCGGGAAGCAGAAGGTGCCGAAGCGGTCCGTCCTCTTGCAGGGGCTGCACCGCGGGATTCTCGTGGCTTGATGTGGCCAAGTCAAAGAACTGAGGTGGGCTCTGAATGTTCGACTCCGACGAAGCGCAAGCGACGCCGGTAAGAGGCAAAGCCGGCTCTGGTGAGGAGCTGTTGGGGTTGAGCGGCGCGTCTGTCATTACCTGAGCCCTGTGGCCGTATATGTCCGCTGGAACGAAGAGACGTTCGCGAGCAAAGCGAAGCTGCGCCTTGTTCTCATAAAGCGTTCTTTTATCATATTTAGGATCAGTATCATACAAGATGGTTTGTGGGTAGAGCTGATCACCAACGCTGAAGTACTGAGGCCCACTCCAAGACGGTTTACTTTGCGAGTCTGTTTGTAGAGGGGGAAACTCATGCTGATCCGCTGGGGTGTGATCAGTGTAGTCATTCTTATGCATATTTTGATGGGAGCTATCTCTGGATTGCACGAAATGCAGCTCTCGCTGCATGTCCTCATTGATGTAGTAGACTTCATCGGGAGCCACATTGCGACGCTCAAAGCCGCCATGAATGTGCTTGAACGACCGCCATATGGTGAAGTCAAACCAAGGCAGATAGTGCTGGTATCTGCTGTCTTGAAGAGGGGTGTTGGTATCCTCTCGATCCATGCCTTCCCCCATAAACATACCGTGCTCCTCCTGGGCCTTCCAAGCCCACAAGAATATCGCTATAAAGAAAAAGCGAAAGATCAAAGCAGTGAGAGCTGTGAAGATAAAGTATAAGATCGTGTAGCCACCGCGCACGCGCATGCCGTTCCACGAAAGATAAAGCCATTGATCACGGTTCAGGGAGAATGTCTGGGAAACTGCGAAGACGGCGTGTGAAAAGGTCTCAAAGTTGGCACGAGTGTGGTAATCCCCGCTTTTGGCGTCAATCCAATTTGTACGACTGCCAAAGAAACTCATTCCCAATAGAACCCACATGAATGCGTACAAGGAAAAAAAGATGAATGCGTAAGTCATGCCCGGAATTGCGCGAATAAGCACTTGAAAGACGTGACGCGTGGGGCGGACCGGGCAGACACGAAGCAGCTTCAGAAAACGGATCCAGTTAAACAAGGAAATGGTATTGCTGCGACTGAAACCTAGCTGAAACAGAGAGAGCATGACCGAAACGAATTCGATCAGGTTGAAGCCATCGACCAAAAATGGGCCAGGCCCAATAGCCACTATCCGAATCAACAACTCTAGAACGAAAAACGATGAGAAGATAATACCAGCAAAAAATGTACCCTTTTCCCAGACGTCCGGCATGGTGTCAAACCGAGTGGCGTTGAAAACGGCATTCAGAAAGATCAATACGTACATGAAGAAGTTGAAGTTCGAGATGGGTGCGTTCTGCTTGATGTTTTCCGCCATACGCATCAGCGGCATGCTCCAGCTAGCAAGTTTCCCGTTATCTCTTAAGTGATGATTCACGTCACCTCCAGTGCCGTCATGGGCTTTCTGCTCCTCAAGGTCATGAAACATATCGTAACGATGCATCTCCACCTGAGTCTTGATGTGTTTATTCACTTGTCTGCGGCGGAACTCTTGAATCGCTTTCTCTTCGTACATGTTAGCGTATTTGAGAGGCAGGAGATTGCACCGGTATCTCATCATCTTGTGTTTCCACATGTACTCTGTCAAGATTCGTGGATAGGCCTCAGTGAACATGTGCAGTATATTCCGAATTATATTAAACTTACCCCAGCACGTATCAGTCAATGAAAGTTCACCACCCTCTGGGTCTTGGATGAGCGCCATTTCGGATGCATACTCCGGCGCTGACACATCAATGAGATTCATTGAGCTTCCACCGACTGCGTTTGCACAATATTGTTCATATGTGTGGGGTATCGTGGGGGCATCAGATATGGAGTGCCGCGGAGGAACCACCCCCACGGACTCACGAGTCACACGAACATTGGTCCCAGGTGACGAAGGCGGTCGAGGGGTGATATTAGATGCCGTCACTAGGGGAATGCTGAAGGCCCTCGCTTCGTTCTCCAGCGGAAGCTCAGGATTATCGTGGTCATCCTCACACATGATATCCCCCCAATCGTTGTAATCGGCGAATGGGTCTAGAAAACGAAAATCCTTAGACTTGGCATTTTGTCGGACTGCAAATGGGTCCCCCTCGATCACCGAGGCTCCGGTGGTATGATTTTTGGGATGGTATTGCACAGCACCTACACGACCACCAAGGGCAAAGTTGTCAGGTTCCTGTGCTTCTGGGGATACCCCTGTATCTGGTCTTGCAACGCTAATGGCGCTGCTCTCTTGTATGCCATCATGTGTACCAGGGCGGTCCGTGATTCTTTTTACAGCAGAAGACGTCACCGAATCGCTAAAGTATGGTTTTCGAGTTAGTTCAGCGTGCATTTGCTCCGCGTCCTCGGCGACGGCACGGTGGCGTGAGAGCGAAAGGTGGAGCTGCAGTCGTCGTTCGTCTGTCCAGTGGGTGCCGCGAACGGACCTGGGTTTTGATTTTGAACCTGGGAAACGATATTTTGGAGTGCCATCGTCGTCGTCGTCATGTCTAGGAGCATAAGCTGGGTAATGCGTAACACGTCCATTTTTATCCCGCTTTACGTAGTCCCTTAGACGGACAGCAGCATTCACGCTTCGGCGGTGTTCAAGAAGAACATCATTAAAGACGTTCAGTTGCTTGATAGCAAAAAAGCGACTAGTTTTCTCAATCTTCATGATGAACACACCGAGAAACAGTGAGGGTATGATCCATGTGCACAAGAGAATAGTAAAGAAATAATACAGGAAGACTGCTACGGTTATAGCATCACTGGTTTCCTTCAGAAGCCCAGCCCAGCCCTGAAAGGTCATGATTTGAAATGTAGAAAGCATTGCATGCCCAATATCATCAAAGCTACGGAAGTCATAGTGTGGATTTGGAAACGTATCCTGAATGCACACATAGCCTTCATCGCAATGGTGTCCCCGGTAAACCCAGTGTTCACCAGTGGAACCGGTACGACAGATTTGATCAGTTACTCTATCGGTGAGTTTGTTGACACAGCGACCGTGCAGAACACCTGAAAAAAGCTGTAGACCAAGTAAAGCAAAGAAGAAAATAAAGTACAACAGCAAGATGCAGACATTGACAAGCCCATTTGTAGAACGTAAAAGGGACTTGGCTGAGATCTTCAGGTGCACAATCAAGGGGACGCGGGTGAGACATTTTATGCATCGAATCAAGCGCCACGCCGTGAAATTCCACAGACGCTGGTCATCGGTGCACTCCAGAATGATTATCACAAAAACAGCGGTGTCCAACCAGCCCCAAGGGGAGCGGAAGAACGCGCGTGGATGAAAGAAAAAGCCCTTCGCGAAGAGAGCAAACAACAGCTCAATTGCGAACAAAGTCGTAAAGAGGACGTCCGCACCAAGCATGTAATCCGGCTTGATCATCTTCCCCTCAGGGGCCGAGTAGCGTGCCCAAGTCGCCTGGAATATACAATAGCCTAATATCATAAAGAAAAGGATAATCTCATAAAGCCAGTGGTGCATGATATTGTACACTATAACCCGAGGTGTCCATCGGGGTGGAAAAATGAAGGATGAATGCCGTAGTGCCAAGCTATTAGCATGAACTTGGTAAAGCCAAGGAGCGTTGATCAAGTGATTAAAGTCGTAATCCTTCTTAAAGCGACCGTTGCTGAGGGAGTGCAGCCGGAGGGTCTCGTGCACAGACTTGGTCGAGTGTAACTGAAGCGGATCTACCTTCGTGCTCATTGGCTTGTCTTCAAGCAGCGATGCGGAGTCGCTAAAGAAGGAATCATCATCTGTGAACTGAGCGAATTGCGCGAACAACATCTCATCTTCGTCGCGGAGTTCCGCTGGATCATTGAAGTCCATCCCCTCTGGATACTGGGCACCACCGCTACTAGTCGGTTGCTTGTGACAATGAACGAAGAACTTATCCATTGGGCGGGTGGGGATAACTGGGACTTCCATCAGCTCTTCAGCACCGTCAACTTTCACGGCCTCAGTCTCGATGCGATGCTGGTCATAAAAATTAACGGACAGACCGGAACGCACACCGGCGCTGTGCCCTCTCATTTCAGATGTTTCCACGGGGTGTGAAACAGAGACGGATGTTGTTGGGATGTGGTCATCGCTTTTGTCGACAAATCTCCTTCCACTATGAGGATTCAAGCTAGTTGATGGCCGACTCCTGCGGATTTGAGAATCTTTAGTCTCTCCCTCTCTGGCTTCACTATCCCCTCCCATCCTTACATAAGGAGCCGGGAACGCACCGAGAGGTGATAGACCATCCGGCAAACCTGATGACGCTGAGTGGTGCGGTAGGTTATGATTGTTCTTTTCCTTTTCAATACCCTTTCCATCTTCTTTGCTAAAATACCTGGGTGAGGAGTGATGAGACAACGACTGATGAGATGTTAACACGCGGTCGCGGTCTGGCACATCTGCGTCGGGCCTGTTGTGCTCACCAAGAGTTACCGCCCGTGGAAAGGGTGACGATGGATTCTCTCGTTGAATTCTCCCATCGGTCGATGCCACAATAAAGGATGCCTCAGATGGATTCGAATTCTGAACATCGAGAGTGGATGGCAGCGAGTTTCGGTTCAGTGGTCCTGTAGCGAATGGGTTCTCGATAGGGGTCTCAGTAATGGCATCATTTGGGTAATCGTTATTGCGACTATGATAATTTCTGCCATTCATCACAAACTGTTTTTGTCCTTGAAATTAAGAGTATATGCAAATTCTCGAACCCCCCTGGACACTTCTAAAAACAGGGGAAGAAAACAAGAACAAAATCAAGCGAACTAAAACAAATGTTCACTGAGCTACTATCGTTTTCTGATTAATTTTACAAAGAAAAAAGGACTATGCTTTAGGGGGAGAGGTTGATCTGTATCAAGGAAAAAGGGAAAAAGATTATGTAATGAGATTTGACACCTTTTTCCAAGATGCTTTTTTGTTTGTCGGCAAAATTGGTTTTCCAAAAATATTAAATAGACTTTAATAGCATCAAAAACGAGAAACTATTGACTATCGCAAATCTAAAACCCAGTTAATCAACTAGTTCGAACAAGCTAACAGAATAAATTGAGGAGGAGTAAATTATCATTTTTCAAATAACATAAAGAAACATTCTCATTCCAGATTACTCTATATTCTGCACTGTGTTCAACTTCAGTACACTCAGTGTCCTGAAAATAAACTTTTTACTATATGGGAATAGACAAAAAAAGGACATCGCTTAGTTATGCTTTCTTTTACGAATCGAAGCATACAGCACTGTGAGCATAAATATTCCATGATCAACAACCTTATGAATTGATGAAGAACTTTGCGGATTCCTTTTTTACCTTAATAATAGCGACACATTGAAAAAAGTAATACAAAACTTCAGTGATAACAGATAATATTGACTGCTGAATAAAAATAAATATACGTACTGTTCTATTTAGCTTTGGTTGATTAAACCCATAAAGATCCATATCACTCATGCTGAAAGCAATAACTAAGAATAAATAAAAAATGTTTCTAAAGGAATCTATGTGGCAATCCCCAATAACCAAAAAAAAAGAGAGTTGCCATGCGTTTGGTTCATAATCGTAGTGCTTCATATACCTCAAACTGTACACAAAATCTCTATCTAATAATAATAATAACCAACAATGCATTCTGTGGGGAAAAAGATGAACACATACACTGAGGATACCAAAGTATTAGTTCTCATTACTTTTCGTTTCAGCAGATGTGTCCAGTCTCTTCATCAGCAATAATTGCTGTTCGATTAGCTTCTCCATCTTCGCGTTGAGACCCCGAATATCATCTTGCTGCTTCTCATTGTGAGTAAACCAGTGCCTTTTGAGACTATCTATCTCTTGGTGAACTAGGGATTGTTGCTTCTGGAAGTACTCCGCCAAGGCGGCTAATGCGTGTTCAACGTTCTCCATGCGTTTGCTATAAGGTGATTCGTCTTGATGTGCATGGCTTTCGCTCTCACGCTGCACCGAGCTGGTCTGCTTTTTCCCTTCCTTTTCATAAATTTTATCGGGCCTTTCTCGGGTATCTAAAGGACTTATACCACAATCGTTAGTTTTACGATCGTCCACGCGAACGCAATATGGGGTTGTAATCGAGCTATAGCGCTTTTCGTCTCGCTCGAAGCTACGCTCTCGCTGTTGCTGTCCAGATGCTACAGTTGTATTGGCGGCAGGACGGGACGATCCGGCTGCAGCTTCATCATGAAGCACCTCGTCGGTGGCATCAGTAAGTTTCCCCCCTCTTAGGCCTGCTTTAATGCCTTTCTGTGATGCCGGCCGTGGTGGTAGCTTGGACAGGCTAGCTCTAGGCGATGGCTGTCCCTTGGACGGAGAACCCTGCCGAGATACGAGCACCCTTCCCGCGATTCCTCCCGTGATGTGGCTTTGCTGAGAATTTCCCTGCTGCTTGACCACACTTTCCTGTCTATCCAGCTGGCTTACGGTGGCCGTGCAAGTTTCATCTATGAGATCCGCATGCGGATTGATCTGAGATCGGGATGGCATAGTTCTAATAGGAATCCCAGAGCGCCAAAGCATGACTACGTTATCCTTGCCGGCCGTCACGAAGAATTGCCCATCGTCGGAGAAGCGGCTTGCGCGAACAGGGCCGTCATGGGCCTGCATGGTGCAGTACAGCAGCCCTTCACAGGTATCCCACAACTTCGCCGTCCCGTCCTCCCCGGCGGAGAGCAGCCAACTCCCGCTCGGGGCGAAGCTGACGTCGTGCACGGCGCCCTCATGGGCAGCAGGGTAGCGCTGAACCAGGCCGTAGCGCCCCGTCTCCGCGGCGCCCGCCGTGGGCCCCGAGCGGTCCGCCGACGACGAGACGCGGAGGTCGAACACGTTGATGTCGCCGTTCCCATCCCCGCTCGCGAGGTGGTACCCCTCCGGGCCGAAGCTCAGCCCGCGGATGCTCGCTTTAGGCTCGTAAAAGGTGTGCGCGGCGCGTCGGGCGCGGGTATCCCAGACGTGCACACACCGGTCATCCCCACCACTCGCGATGCAGTGGGAAAAGTTCGGCGAGGCGGTGGCGCCTTGGACCGCAAGACAGCGGATCCAATTCGTGTGGCCGGTGTGCGCGGCGGCAAAGGAGGCCTCCGGGGTGGCCCCAGAAGGGGGCCCCGAAAAGCTCGCTAATTTGCTCCCACAAAAGCCGATCCCGCTGTGGGTGTTGGACACGTAGTTGAGATTCCAGCACTTGATGCTTTTGTCATCCCCGACGGTAAAAAGCCGGTCCGTGCCGTCCTGCGCGAAGGCGATGGCCCGGGCGGAGCCGGAGTGAACTCGCCAGGAGAAACAATTCTCGTAGTCGTCGTTGCGCTGCTGTAGACTACAAGGGGAAGGATATGTGGTGGAGGTACGCATGAGGTTAGGGGTCACCAACCGTGCATAGCCGTCGTGACCGCAACTAGCAATAAGGAGGGATTTGGGGCTGTAGGCGCACCCGAATACCGGCCCACGGTGCCCAAGGAAGCGTAGAGCACGAACGGTTGGTTTTGCATCCCATAACATCACCGTCCCATCGGTGCCACCAGTCAAAACCTTTGGCGGGAGTACCGAGCGGCGGCCCTGAGAACTGGGTTTACCCGTCGAGCTACTCAAGGCCAGTTTATGATGGGTAGGCTGAAAGGCAGCGCAGAGGACACCTTGGCGGTGGCCTCTAAAAGTCATTTCAACGGTTGGGCGGCCGAGAGCACCTAAAGTCGGTTCTTCTGGCTTAAAATAAGATGCTGAATTCATTATATACTGATATAGACTAATGGAGCAATGGTATGTATGTATATTTAATCCTTTCGCTTCACTTTTTTTATATCTACAGTGTGTTTGTTCTATATGATGAAGTTCCTTTGCGTGTTTTTAGATTGCAACAAGTGCTTACCATATGAAGCAATGAAATTTCAAAATAAATTGAATGTTTTTGATCTAATAGAAAACTACAGATGCATAAAAAAAGACTTTATTTAATAAGAAAAGCCGCATCTACCAACCTGCCCATAAGGCTCTTCCAATAATGTGAATAAGAGAACACTATTTCGACTCAGCTCTGGAGTTGCTGACACTTTCCCTTTTCAGACATCAAGACGATGATTTTTTTTGCTCTGTACAAAATAGAGAACAAAAACATTATTGACATGATCTTTGGTAAATGTTATAAAGAATAATGATTAGTCCAAATTATTTATGCACCTCAAAGTTCAAGCATGGATGAAACTTTGATTATCGATCATAGTCATGACTATCCGCAAAAAGCGGCCACTATTTTTGATAGCGTATGTTATTCATAACCCTTCAAAATGAAAACACACACACGCGCACAAAATATTACAGATGAGTTGCATAGACGTATAAATATATACTTAACAATGTATAGCAAAAAAAAATCAAGAAAATTAACCTCTACTTCGACGAAAATTAATAAGCCAGAATGACATAAGGTATTGAACACATATCGCTGATCTGACAGCTTTTTCCTTGTCACAAATGGAGTTCAATATGGCTATCACGTATAAAAAATAGGATATGGTGAATATTTTACTTGAACTATAAAATTACCTATAAAAGCTAAAAAGTGAAATAATGTCTTCAATTTTGGCGGGCTTTAGTATCATCTTATGTTTTTTTTCTTTTAGCTAAGGAGAGGTTCCGTATGGCCGGTTCAAGACCTAACCCACAGTCGCACCATCACCTTTATTGTGATACTTCATTCATGTAGTACTTGTTTCATAAATTGATTTGCTAAAAAAAAAGAGCTCACATACTGGTGTCGCTCACTGAAAAATACCTTTGGTACTCATGCCTCTTTTCTTACGAAACTCTTACTCTTGTAACCTTAGAGGGCTGTTTCCTACTAGATGATCCTGAATTGCTCAGCAGGTGTACGCATTAAAATTTTTATTCCATTAAGTTCACTAATCCTGCCTTTAAGATTCAATTAGGAAACTAACCTTACATCTGTAGTGTTTTTACAAGGTACACGGCAGTTCTTCCTCTACACTTAGCATGCTTGATCACAATAAAGCGTTTATTTTCAAAAAAAAAAAACAGATATACTAAACAGCAAGCCATGCATTATCGAAGAATACGATGTTGAAGAGCAAAGAAGTGAGTAAGCAAGTATGTAGAAACAAATAAGTTGCCCAAAGGTCAATGCGAATAACTGAAAAGTAGTACATTACACTTTTCCTTTCACAACACAAACGCCCCTTTTTCTATTGTATTATGTGCGAAATTGCTTTGAAGCGAATATATTACGATGTCAATTGGTTTTAATTTTTCGTTCGGACTTCAACATAATGACCTGAGGGTAGTGAATAACACGTAGTGAGGCATCAGGTGGTTATCTACCTGCGCCTACCCAGGCCGTCAAAGAATTCGGGCAGGTCTTTCTTATGATTGCTTCATCTCCTTTTTGCTCTCCTTTCTTTTGGTTTTGGGGACAACCGCCTATTGTGTCTGTTTGTAGGACAGTAGTGGCAGTTCTTGTTATCGTTGCTGAGACTCTTGCGCTTCCATGCTGGAGTTACACAGATTCATCATTTCATAGAGGGGGGGGGGGGGGCACGGGGAGTTTTCCCGACTCCTCGCTTTTCTCCTGAACGTGGCTGCGATTTCTTTGCGTTTGTATAAGAAAAAAATAAATACATCCTATCATCATCTTCATCCTTTTCTCCACCATTTAAGGACCTTGAAAGCTCCTCATAATTGATTTTGTACTCTCAGACTCATTTAGGCATAATGCCAGCGGACTTTGTTATCGGAGAGACGCCGCACTTTAAATAGGATATGGCCTTATCAGAGCTCGTGCTGCTGCTGGTGCTGCTGCAAGAGGCAGATCTCGGGTTTTGTTTGATATCAAAAGCGATGAAAGAATTTTTTTCCCGCATCATGGGGTAAAGTAGTTTCGTGTTCTCAGGGCTCCTCATATGAGATGCGGGAGATTTTCCCAGAGCCCATGCCTCAGTGCGGTTTTTCCTCGTGTTATCTTTTAGTGATTCGTCGCCCTGGTGCCCCTTGCTGCATTCCCCCATGTCGGAGTCCGTAACAGAGAAGCTGGCACTTATGGAGGGAGATAAGGATACAGAGGTGGATGGGAAGCCTTGGAACGAGCTGCACCACCTTCGGAAATGCGAGAGAGACTTGGTTAAAGAAGCGCTACTTTTCATAGAGTTGTTCACCACCTCCCGGCCGCCATTTTTAATCACTTCGATGTCGTGGTGGTACTTTTGTAGGAGGCGCAGACGTTCCTCCTCGCTTCCCCCTTTGCCTTTCGACTGAGAAACAAAATTGAAGGGTAAATTGGGTTTTACAATAGTGGAATGAAAAAAAGATCCTTTGGGCTCACCTGGGTTTCCACCGTCCTGCTGTAGTTCCGTGTTTCCCTTCTTGACTACCTCTTGCTCCCAATTAACCACACCCTCTCTGCAAGAGTCAGATTCAGGACGGCCGCGGCTCGTTTCCTGATTTCCGACTGAATGGGTAGCGTGATGAGTTGAGAAATATAAGTTTTCGGATCTGTTCGACACCGGAGAATCTATTTGGTACTCGTGAGTCGCATCGCCGCTAAGGGAAAGCGCTTGGTTAGCTGCAGGTGACAATTTGGCAACCTCACTGAGTAGCCTGTTGGGTTCTCTCGCGTCTAAAACCACCGCCTCGCCGACGCGAGGACCTTTTTGGCTCGTCGTGAATAGGTGCTTAGCCGGAAGCCGCATTCGCCGTTCATGCATGTTAGGCGGATTCGGACTGCGAGCTAGATTTCCACAAAGATCAGGCGCAGGGGCAGTTAGCCCGCAGGAGCTTTCGGACGGGAACACGAGACGGGTCCTCCGCAAAGCCTCTTTGCAAAGTATCAGATGATGCAATCCACGTCGGTGCGCGGTCGGTGGGGAGTTACAGACGGCGCCGCAAGAATCAGGTTCGTTAAGCGTAATCTTACCATCCCTCCTGACCTCACCGCTACTACAACTCAACTTTGGTGGCTGCGGGTGTATACACTTCACAGCCATCGCGGCTTCTTCTTGATCCTTTACTCGATTATCACTGCAACGCGGCGATGTCGATCGTTCAGCTAACCGAGATGGCTGGATGAGTGAGGGATCCGCGAAGGTAACACTGAAAGCACTCTTCGAAGCGGAGAGCACAGGGCGCCGAGGCGACGTGTGAGCCATTTGACCCTCGATGGAGCTGTGGAAAGACGCCGTTGAATGAACACGGCTACCCATTTTTTTCGAGCAGCAGCTTCTGATATTCGTGTTCAAATAAGCCTTCTCGTGTTGTCTTGGATGACAGTCCTGCTCGGTCGCCTCGGCTCTAGCACCTGCTGCCACTCGTTCCCACGAGGAGGGATCAACACCCTTCAACGGAATGGGAAGACAGACCTCTCCATCGCTTCCACGTGGGGTGGCAAAAGAGGCGTCAGTATGTACCTCATCACAGCACTGCTTTGGTATGAGCGTTTCTCGCGCGTCTTTTGCGGGGCTTCTTGGCGCGGGTTGCCCGAGTGGTTGTGGAGGAATCACACCGGGTTCGTTGAAAGAATACACAGAAGCCATTGGACCCTTCATCTTTTTTTCTTCTTTTAGTTGAGATTCTGAAATAATGGGTCTAGGGGTCAGCACAAGAAGGACTGATGTAGCTTTTATTTTTACTTACGGACGCAAAAGACAATAGTATCACACCTATTGTCTAACAATGGACAAATCTAGTTAATCTGAGGAGAAACAACACCTAATAATGCCTAAACAGCATCAATATTAAGTTGTTTACCTCTATATCCCCAGAATTCAGAAGCTTCATTAAGACAAGGAAGAAAGAAAGAAAGAAAGACCAGAAGATGGATCCTTTGAAAAGGAAATAACATCAATGATAAAAAAAAGTATGAGACGTGGCGAACACTATGGAGCGAAGCCACGGACTCTCGGACCCTATTGACTGTCCAATAATTGGTCAAAATTTACGTAAATTTATTTAAAGAACAAACAAATATCGTAACTGTGAGTTCACTGATCCAAAGGAAAATGATGACTATTACCTCCTTCCTCAGACATCCAAAGGCTTAGCTGCTCTTAGCAGCATTCGCCGCCGGGGCCTCCTGAGGGGGGGCGGCCACCACAATACGGCTGTACACGCGGTGCTTGCTGGAGCACGACACCAGGCGGATCTGCTTCTCGCGGCAGAGCTGCTTCAGCGCAGCAGAGGCAAGGGAAACGGTGATCTTCAGGCGATCGGAGATGATGGCGGGGGTGATGAGCTTGTACTTCGGCACCTCGTTGCGGAGCTTGTCGAGGGTGTCCTTGTCGAACATCACGGCATTCTGCAGGGCCTCACGGGTCTGGCCCTTGCTCCACTTCTTCGTCGCGCGCTTGCTGGCGTTGTTGGCCGCGGCCATCTTCGCCTTCTTCGTCTGTCCTTCCTTCGGAGGCATGGGATCGCGGGGTGATTACAAGTGTGGGTATGAACCTTTCTAGTGAACGACACTTTCAGTGTTAACAAATCAAGAGAAAAAAGTCAGAAAAGAAAGGATTAAAAAGGAAATTTTCGGACCTTACTAACAGTATACACGCATAGAATATATGGCCGTATATGTAACACATTGATTTTCATCGATAACGAAATTGACTAGAATGTTCGAATAAATTGCAAAGGCTTCTCTTTCGAAACTTTGCTTTTGTCTGTTAGAACAAACGTATAGTGTGAAGCAGCGGTGGGGGAAGGGGGGAAGAAGATGGGAAAAAGAAAATAGAAACAGAAAAAAAGAATTCAAAGGGAGGATACATTATTTTACTCCCTTTCCTATAGAATTTAGCAGCTCTGTAGCTTTGATTCAATAGCCTGGCGTAATTCAATAAACGAATAGCGCAGGCGCACATGCCCACCCTGATCGTAATCTTCGCGTGGCGTTGTGCGCAACCGCGGCGCCCGGTACTCTGATTTTGTTGAATTCTCTTTGTCGTTATCGTTTGCTCCCCCATCAATTGCGGATGATGAAGAGAAAAGACAGTTTTCAGCAGCGCGGACAAAATCCACGTGAGGAGAGCGCGCGATAATCTCGGAAAGGCTTTCTGCTATACTTCGAATCAACATCGCGCGGGAGTATTGACCACGCCTGTTGCGCGGCACCGTGGAGGAGTTTTTCTCTGCTTGTGAAGAGTCCTCAGGCTGAGATCCTTCGGTGAGATTTGGCACCGCGGTTAATGACTTTCTAAAAGCAAAAATATCAACATTTTCCGTAGCAAGGAGTAAAAGCGCCTGCTCAATTGTGAGGGCCAGCTGAGCCGCTACACTGTCCAGCAGCGAAGACGACTTCTCAAGCTCGGAAGCAGAAAGGGAAGCGCAATGCTCCTCATCTGCCTCAATTTCCATGTCCACCTTTTCTTCTTCAGACATCGTCGCCCAAAGCGTTGGTGGTAAATCCAAAATAAGCACGATGTTGCGAACACGCAATGGAGCGCACGACGCCGACGACAGAAGGCCTGGGCTCGCATCGTCCATGTCTCCGGGGCGTCGGAAGTCGAAATAACTCGCCCCGAGGCCGTCGTCGTCCTCCATCTCGTCTGGCGACTCGCCTGCGCCGTCGCGATCG